GAAATATATAGTGAGAGAGTGAGTTTATCAACTTAATAAGTAAATAATATTCAATATACACCTACGAGGTAATACAATGATGAGACATATATGAAAGTTTGGATTTAAGCTTTTCTATAAGGGTTTTACAAATAGGTCATAACAAGAAATATCATAAGATAAAATTTGTTAAAAAATCAAAATGCAATGAGCATATGGCTTTATACTGTGAAATGATTTGTCCATACAGGTTGGTGACGACCTTGACCAATTAGGGATCATATATGATATATACAGATACTAAAACTACCTCGTTAAAATGAATAGTTTGACTGACATATCAAATGATCATATTATAATCAAACAAATAAAATTATATATGAAGGCTCAACTCATGAAATCAATTAAATGAGAAGCTATCAAATCATGCATGCACATATCTTATATTCAGAATTTAGATTCAATAAATGATCATGCCTTATCATAAAAAAAGAGATAATAATCAATATATATTATTAATAAGCACGATCCATTTCATACTAACAATTGAAATATTTATATTATTTCTCATGCATATGAAATATTATTTACTTACCTGACTCAAAAGAGAAAGATCTTAAAAGCAAATGTCTAAGGGAATCCTATTGATGTCCTGCGAGTGAATATCAAGATTATCTAAATACAAAAGAAAACATATTAAAAAATAACTTAAAAAGGGCATACAAACTATTTAATACACTTAACTTAGAATTGAACTAATGACCCTATATGTTTTTTAGCTAAACTTGTCATTTTTTTCGGAAACCCAAAAATCAAATAGTTTTTCAAAAATCTAATTCAAAAGAAAAAAAATCACAAAAATTGATAATAGTTCACCAAATAAACATCAATTACTCAACAAATGATCATGCCTAAAAAAAGATAATAATCAATATATATTATTAATAAGCATGATCCATTTCATACTAACAATTAAAATATTTATATTATTCATCATGCATATGAAATATTATTTACTCACCTGACTTAAAAGAGAAAGATCTTAAAAGCAAATGTCCAAGAGAATCCTACTGATGTCCTGCAGATAAATATCATGATTATCTGAATACAAAAAAAAAACTAAAAAATGACTTAAAAAGAATATACAAACTATTTAATACACTTAACTTAGAATTGAACTAATGACCATATATGTTTTTTTAACCGAACTTGTTATTTTTTTCAAAAACTCAAAAATCAAATAGTTTTCCAAAAATCTAATTCAAAAGAAAACAAATCATAAAAATTGATAATAATTCACCAAACAAACCTCAATTATTCATTAAAACAATCTGAAAAACTAAAATTATAGCTAGAGACCAATATGGAATTTTATCAGATTTTAAAGGTTAAAATGTAATTTTATTAAATTAGAAAACCAAACTGAAAATATCATAAATTCAAAACTATAATGAAATTTTACCAATAATTCATCTTTTAATTTTTTCGGAATCTTGAATTTTACTCTAGGTACCAAACTATAACTTTTACAAATTAAGGGACCAAGCTGAAAATTTCATCAACCCAGATTTTTCTACAGACCACCTATTAATCTACAAAAATCTCTAACTCAAATTCATTATTTAAACAAACCATAACTCAAAATCATCATTCTTACTAAAAATCTTCTAAAATCAACTAAACAAAACCATTATCTATAACAATTAATCCATGATATTCCAATCAACTCATTAATTAAACCCAAAACAAAATTTTCAGAACCCTGGTCTTCAACAAATTCAAAATCAAAGCTAATACATATTAAATCATAAATCATACATTAACAACTTATTTTTTTTTAAATTCTCTTCCCTTCTCTCCCTCGCTCCCTCCCTTCCTCTCTCTCTCTCTCTCTCTCCTCTTTTGTTTTCCTATTTATATTTATCAACTCATATGCAATTATCTTAATGACCCTCATTCTTTAATATTTAATATCTATCTATAGAAGGGCATTGTTGTCTTTTCCTATTAATTCTTTCTCTTTTATATTAAAATATTACATCGAGAGACAAACATAGATCAACATATTCAATATCATGATTTGGGTAATTTACATCATTGTATTTAATGAATTTGTTTATTAAATTCAATTTCAAATAAAAATTGACACATACATAAGATTTATTAGATACAATAAAAAGTAAAAACATATGATGCAAGGCTACACATATTAAAATTATCATAAGAAATAAATATTTTTTTATTTCTTAAAATAAATTTAATATATAAAAAATATATTTAAATTACAAATGAATCATACTTATCCCTTTAAAAATTTAACAAATCTAATATAACTAAAAATTAATAATTATGTAAAAAAGGATAAATAAGCAAAAAAAATCATGGAGAAGTAAAATATAAACTTAAAAATTATGTTTAAAGAATATAAAAAAGTTCAAAATTAAAAAAAAAAAAATTAAAAAAAAAAGAATGAGGTCGGGCCTAGCACCTGACCCACGACCAATGGGCCAGTAAAGTCAAAATCAACCGCGTGACCTTTTTTTTTAAAAAAAAAGATAATGACCTTAGCTTAATAATAATAATAATAAAAAACAACATAATATTTAGCATACCTAGATTCTGACCACTATGGTAACTGGAAAATCAAGGTGTTTGGTTTTTTCTTTTTTAAAACCTATTTTCCACATCTTTTTAACCCAAAACATCTAAAAAAACACCCTAGCTCTAAAAGCGCAAAAAGCTGGTCTAAAACCAAGAATCAACCTAGAAATTAATTTTTTTCGAATCTCATATTTTGAATTTTTTTGGCACTTTCATGGTAAAAAAAATACCCAAGTCAAATTCCCCTTATTATATATAACCATTTGAAACAAAAATATAATGTTTTAGTGGCCAAAATTATTGAGATGATAGTTTTCTTTCTCTCCTCTCATCCATTGAGAATTGAAAAATAACAAAAATAAAGTCTAGGATCGAAATGATTTTTCACAAACTTCAAAGGATTGATCACCTAATAAAAAAAAATATTGAAAATAAAAATATACTTCACCAATAAATTTTCACAAGCAATCTTGTGATTTACACTTTAATCCTCTGTTTTTCAAACCAACTCTCACCCCTAAAAATTATTCAATTGAGTTTTAATTTAGATTTAAAAGGGTTAAATTATGCTAAAAAAGTTTGAAAATCAAATTAATTTTTTTTAAAATAATACTATTATAATCTATTTTTTAAAATAATACTATTATAATCTAAGTAAAATATAAAAGGATGAATGATAAATTTATATACAGTAAAAACGCCACGTCAATTAGTTTTAAAATAATTATACTAAATTTATATACAGTAACGAGGAATTTCCTGTGGCACTCCACTCCAATGCAATGTTTGAGGGCACTCCATTTGCACGCGCCTCTCACCTTGCACCGTCGTCAATTCATGAAAACACCCTTTTCCTAGCATTTTCTGAAGTCCACCGGATTACAGTGCCGCTTGCACAAATAAATAAAAACCCTCACAGAAAGCCTTGTCACTGAACCGGGTTCCAAGGTCCTTCTTCAAGGCCCCCACGACGACCCCTGATTGGCGGTGGGCTGATGGAAGACTAATGTGGACATGAGAACCACCAGAGGTAAGCTGCAGTCATCCTTGGACAAAATTGGGGTCCATTGGACAGAAGTTTTGAGGCTACGGTATGGCAGACACCATAATCACTTGCCCGTGATGTTAGGGATTTAACTTTTATTTATACATATAGTATTAATTAATATAATTTTCGTGTTTTAATATTAAAAATAATTTATAACAATAAAAAAATTATTTTAATATATTTTTTAATTAAAAATACTTAAAAAAAATGATGGATAAATAATAGGTGAACACAAGTTTAAATTGGGATGGTCCAGCACTTGTACCCGAATAGGACGGGCAGAAATAGTTTCCGAAACGAATCTTTTCAGAACATCAATATAAATGTAACAATATTACATCAAGGGAAAGGGAGCAAAAAAAGAGAAGTTGTCATGAAGCCACATATAATGGAAGATTACAGGGTTGATTAGTGATCAAAAACTCTAAAACACATAGTAAAATGTGGAAAACTTACAAATTTAAATATAGCTAAAGGCTTAAAACAAGTAATCCGGAGTGATTCTGGATCATAAAAAGGTCTAGAAATAGATTTTCAAAGCAAATTTTAAACTTGCAAAACAGTTTAAAATGACATTTATATCATGAGTCTATCGAGTAAATTTTATGAATTGATATGATTTGCATATAAATCGTGAGTAATACTCATAAATTCCCTTACAAGCCTTCCATGATTTAGTC